AGAGATAATTTCGATTTGTTTTTAAATTTATTTGTGTCTGAGTTGTTTCGTTGCATGCCAATAGTTGATAAGTTACAGGTAACGGCCTACAGCCAGTTTGGCGACTGTAGTGACGGAAATAGATTATGGTTTTTGTTTATTCGCGTACGGAATATACGGAAACCGATGATAATTGAATAATACGATTCAACTTAGTACTCATTAATTTAATGACGCGATAAGCAACGGACGATAGTGTACGTGCACGACGGACGACAGACGTATGCTACGGACTTTCCGAGTGGAACTGTTTACGTAATTATGTCGCTTTACTTGTATATGTATATATTCTAATTACTATAAAAATTTATATATTAACACGCTTTATTCTAATTCAGAGATATAAAGTATTCATTCCGATTACGAGGGATGATTTCCGTATCGTCATTTTTCGTCACTACCTCCACGTTCTGGGAGTGAGTAATTTGCGCGCCTGCTGCTTTCCTTGGATGTGGTAGCCGTTTCTCTGACTCCCTCTCCGAAATCAAACTCTAATTTCCCGTTACCCGTTACAACCATGATATTGATAGTAACTTTTATCATAACATGAAACTAAAAATTATTTTTAACTTTTTAATTCGATGTGCTTTAAAACCGTGTTTTTTTAGTTTTTTTAAACTATATTTTTTTAGTTTATTTATTACTTAAGTTATTTTCACTATAGTCAGTTGCCATTTAATGGCAATTGTACGTAAAACGTAAATAAGTAAACAATGTTTCCAAACTTATCCTTATAGGAGTTGCAGTGTACTTTTTATGTTAAACCATTTTTAAATAATCGTCTTTTAAAGGGTAGAAAAGTGTCCTATTTTTATGAATTAAATTTTATAAGGATGATATCAATTGCAAATTATCTGCAAATTTATTAAGAAAAAAATGTTTTATTAAAGCATGTAAAAAGAACTTAAAGGACATTTTAAAAATCTTTCTCTTATAGGCGATCTTTTATTGAGGTGTTTGTAGAATATAGCATTTTCGGTTAATGCATGTCATAACGTTTCCGGACTTTTTGCAAGTATCACTACGGGCAAAAGTTCCGTTCATTAATGGCACTCATTTCTATAGGTGTTTTAACATTGATATCTAACATACATAACTAGTTATCACTTTTATCTGTGACCGTAAGAACGTATTCACTTTTTATGGTCGCTTTATCGTCAATTATAATCATTTAGATTTATTCATCATTTAGGTAAGAAAGGATTAGAACTCATGAAATCCAAATTCCAGTTGGACATTGAAAATGATTAGTAGTGTAGTTTTACAACTGAAATTTAAAATGAAAATAAAACCAATAGTTATTTTACAAAATTGATACTTTTTCTAAAACGGATATTAATTATTAAATAAGCACTCTTGGAAAAGTTAACATTAAAATATAAATTGATTTGAAAATAATTTTTTATTTATTTTAAAGAATATATCAAGTTAAGCAAGTTTTTTGATGTATTTAATTCAAAATAAAAATAAAACTACTGGTAGTAAAACATTTAATACAACTAGTTGGACTCCAAAAAATAATACTAAATATTCATATATGAACCATTAATATAAAACACAATATTAATTTTGAATGTTAAATATTATTAAGATTAGAGTAAATGGATCAGCTTTTTTTTAAATTTTTTAGTAATAAAAAAAAATTTTGTTCAACTTTTTTTTTAATGTATTAATTTTTCTTCTATAACACTTCTATTAAATTTTTCATTACTAATTTTGGAATTTTAACTGATAATACAATGTAAATATAGATAAACTCCATAAAAAAGTTTTCAACACTATCTTTTTAATTATAATTATTTAACAATTCAATTTTTGTTTTGATTTACATTTATAAATGTTTAACCTCCAATCACTTTTTTAAATAAATAATAATTTTATTTTACATGTTAGGAGTTAGAATTTACTATTCTGAAGTTTACTTCAATCAAGCCACATAAACGACCCACCCACCGATCAACTATTAACAAACCAATTTACAACTTTCATATCCGAGTTTAAAACTCTAATCTCTCCCCTCATAACACTTCTTAATCTCCTAATAATCCTTCTTACCTCACTAATAAATAAATTAAGTACCAACAATGGATTCTAACTTTAAACTTAGACTACTCACATGGAACGCAAACGGTATTACACCCCACAAACTTGAACTTCAGGCAATCCTCAATATTCACAACATAGACATAGCAATGATATCCGAATCCCACCTAACCCCGACAAAATCTATTAAAATTCTAGGATACAAAGTTTACCAAAGTAATCACCCTGACTCCACTGCTCATGTTGGATCGGTGATACTAGTCAAAAACAAAAAATTTGAAAATTATCGGTCCTTTTTCTTACGGTCCCTTAAAAAGTTCATCGATGAACTTTTTAAGGGACCGTAAGAAAAAGGACCGATAATTTTTAAATACAGACCAACTAGGACCGGAACAATTTATTATTTGAAGTATAATACCGAACTGAACCGAACTGTGGTCTAGTCTGATTCAGTCCGGACCGGTTCAAACTGAACCATGCAGAGCTCTAAGTTGGGTTTTATGACATCCATTTTATCATTCATTGGTTTTTGGATAACAATATAACGATAGTAAGAACTTATGTTTGATTTTTAGGAGGTATAGGAAGTGGTAGGCCTATGAGGTCTACTTTGATAAATATTGGATAAATTTTATTGATTGAGAAAGCCATGACCAAAGTTAGTAACTACAACCAAGAGATATAAATAATATCTGATTACTTAATTCTTTTGTTTCACGTCTGCAAAATAAATTTCTTTCCTCTATTTGTTTAGCAACAATACATCAGGAAATTACAATTAAAGCAAACATTACAAAAATGTTTTACTTTCAGCTTTACAAATAATGACCTATATTACAAGTGTATTTTAATATTTAATATTTAAGAAGAAAAAAATTTACTTTAACACTCGAAACGCTACAAATCGGTCTGGTTTAGTACTAGTATTTGTTTTTATTAAAATAACAATTTTTTTTTTTATTTTAATTAAAATTTGTCCGTCTATTAGCAGAGGTTCATATTCAATAATATTATTCATTTTTTTCATTTTTTGTTCATTTACGCATTACAATTTAGACACTTAAACTATTGGATTTCTTGAAAGTGTTGATTTAAAAGCGAATCAATTATTCACGGCAACAAGTAATTTAAAAATAATAATTATAATAACAGGTTATAATTTGTAAAATAATTGTGAATTAATTTTTCATCATATAACTTACCAAAAAAAAAGGTCTTTAATAATAATAAATAAATGTTTTTTAAGTCATTTACGTTAAAATTATTGAATAAATATGAAATATATTTTGATTTATTTCAAATTTTTTGGTTCGTTAATATAGAGTCTTAGATAGATTAATAGCTTTTACATAAAGTATCTTAGGACTTAATTTTCTAAATGAACTTTCATTTTGAGTAAGATTAAGAAAAAATATTTAATAATAAAAATCTAAAAAAACATATTAATTCAACAAAAACGATCAAATTTTCATTTAACACAATATGACTCTTGCTATATATACAGATAAGAACTACAATTATATATAATTATAACAATTTTAGGAATAATACTTATTGAGTTACTAACACTGTATTATAAATAAATACCAGAACAGGTCGTACCCACCCAACTTACATACCCACCCGTTATTTTAAAATGTTTATAATTTTGTTTAAATACTTGATACAAATTTTTATAAATTTAGGTTTAAAATTTTTCATTAAAATGAAATAATTTTCCTATTCTTAATATTTATTATAATATGAGTATAATTTCAGAGCTCAGTGATGCAATGAATGGAAATTGTTAGTTTTAATCATAATCATTTTGTAATTATACAATGAAATTTAGTTTAATTGTAAAAGATGTTAATTGATGTAAATTTAAGACAAGTCAAAAAGAGGTCAATTCTTTTTTTAAATTCAGGTACATTTATAAGTTTTAGTTTTTTTGGAAAATTTTCAAAGTTAATATTTTGTGAAACATTTGTTATTTTGAATTCCTTTTGTGGGCAGGTGAAGGGTCTGTTTTACAAAAAAAGTGTACCAATAATAGGTAAAATTAGTCAGTGAGAGCTGAAAATGAGTGGTAATAGACAATAATATACACCATAATAAAATTAATACCTCTAAGCTTCGCATCGAAGCTAAAAGTATGATGTCAGTTTATCCAGTCTTAGAAATTTTATAACAATCCATATTCATTATCTATTTGGCCATTATTAGAAATTTATATATCTTTCAATAGGAGTCATAGTCCTCTTGGTTTTTTTGACTACCATTTACATTATTTATTTCACTCTTACAAATTATGCAACCTTTCAAATTATATACAACAATATTGCTCTTACATATTTTCTATCTTTATTCTTGAAATTATTTTTTTTTTTTTGATCATCAATTTATTTTATAAATGTATAACTCTTTAAATGGCAGTCATAGTCACCTTAGTTTCATTAGTTACGCTACAAGTTTTGGATATTAAGAAATTTTTCATAATATGAAAAATTAGTAGAATGATTTCAGTTTACTAAGAAATAGGGTAATTCAGTATATTAACTAAATATCAAAGCATAAATAAATCGTTTTATTCTTACATTCAATAAAAGATTATTATTTTAACATTATTTGATAAAATTGGCGATTACACATAAAACTATTTACTATAAAAACTTGATGTAATTCTCCCTATTTTCATCAATTTCCATTGGGTCTAGATTATCTTCATATGAATCATTGGGCTTAAGTCCTTGTTAAAAAAAAATAATTAAAATGATTATTTTACGAATAATTATTATTTTGAATATCTCATAATAAAATTTTATTGTAACACAAGGGAGAATAATAATATTAGTTTCTTTTAATTGTACAAATTAATAGTTAACCTGTAATTATAGCAAAATTTATAAAAATCATTATCGACGATTCAGTCATGTTACCTTGTCCAAGAAAATCAATTAGCTGTACTTCTTCATTGTGGTTAGATTTATTAACCAATTCTATAAAAAAACAATTTAATATAATGAAATACAAATATTTCTTTTTTATATAACTAGAATTTATGAAAAAACCATTTATACTAAGAGTTGACAAACCTTCGTTTGTCCTTCGTAAAATGTATTACAACTTTCATATTGTATTATACATTTTTTAGTTTTAATTTAATTATTTTATAATATAATTTTAATTTTAAGAAATAATAGACACAAGTGATCAATTTTTATTTTACTTTTTGTTAACTTGTAATCATAGCGAAATACATAATAATTCATTGTGAATGATTAAATCATTTTACCTTGTCCAAGAGAATCAATTAGCTGTACTTCTTCATTTGTATTAGATTCATTAACCAATTCTAATAAAAAAATAAAATAATTTAATGAAATACAAATATTTCAGTTTAATATGGTTGATATTTTTTAGTTTTAAATTATTAATATGTTTAATATAGTTTTAATTTTAAGAAATAATAGACACAAGTGATAAATTTTTATTGTACTTTTTGTTAATTTGTAATCATAGCGAAATACATAATAATTCATTGTGAATGATTAAATCATTTTACCTTGTCTAAGAATATCAATTAGCTGTTCTTCTTCATTGGTGTTAGATTCATTAACCAATTCTAATAAACAAATAATTTAATACAATGAAATACAAATATTTCTTTTTTATATAACTAGAATTTTTGAAAAAACCATTTATAGTAAAAATAGTATTTTTGTTTGTCCTTCGTAAAATTTATTACAACTTTAACATTATATTATACATTGAGATTTTTCATTAATTTTTTGTGGCTTTCTAAGCTCAAAATTTTTTAAATTTTTTAGTTTTAAATTAATAATATTTTTAATATAGTTTTAATTTTAATTAATAACAGCCACAAGTGATTAAATAACGAATAATTATTATTTTGAAATGTCATATTAAAATTGTATAGTAACACAAGGTAGGATATAAATAATTAGTTTTTTTTTCATTTTTACTTTTAGTTGACTCGTAATTATAGTAAAATTCATCAAAATTTTTTATGATAATTCAATCATTTTACCTTGTCCAAGAGAATCAATTAGCTGTTCTTCTCCTTTTGTGCTAGATTCTGTAACCAATTCTAATAAAAAAAATAATTTAACATAGTGAAATATAAATATTTCTATTTATAACTAGACTTTGAAAAAACCATTTATAGAAAGAGTTATACCGTTATCAAATGAATCAATGACCTCTAGTATCCAATGATTTTCTATATCTAATACAAAGTTAAAAAACATTAAGAGTATCTAGTTAAATTTTATAACATATACATTTATGATTCAATACGGTAAAAATGCATTATCAATTTTCTCTATGATTTTCTCAAAAAATAGAAGTTTTTCAATTAGAATGCTTAAGAATAATGTTCTTAAATAAGCTTAAATTATATGAAATATATTTGACGAAATACTAGCAATAAGTACTAGTACAATAATTTTAACATTATGTAACTTATACTAAAATGTATAATTCAAATTATACCTTTATTTTTTAGTTCTCTCTGATATGTATCAAAAGGTTTTTTAGGTCTTGTAAAAAATTCGATATCTATATTTAAAATATATGCTTTAATATTTAGTTTTAAATTAATATTTATATATTCATACCGTTAGTTTTATATTTAGATGGTAGAGGTATACTAATTTGTTGTGTTTTTCGATCATGCCGAAAACCTAGTCTATGAAATTTGTTTATAATTATGGAATTAATTTTCAAATTGACTTTTTCACTCAGATAATCGAAGTATTGCAAAGTTTTTCCTTGGTATTCCTCATTCAATGTATTCCAAAAGGATTCCGTATTAAATGGTTCAAAATTACAATGGATATAACTTTTATACATAGTGTCAATATTTCTATAATAAAAAAAATTTACAATTAATTCTATAAATTTTTCCGTGTTTGTTGAATCATTTTCCATTGGAATATAGTCTTTTGAAATTTTGTTAAATTGTGCTAAATTTATAAATAAATTTTTAAAAATAAAATTTTTTGTCCACGAATAAGTGTGTAAATAGTCCAATACATAAAGTGTTTCTTTCATCAATGTTGCTAAAGATGGAATTTTTTTTAAAATGTTTAGTAGCTTCATAGCGCAACTATATCCAGTTTTTGTAGTGTCACTTTTGGAAAGCAAACTCTTACAGTGTTTTCCAAATTTTACGAATACGAAAAATAGTATTTTTAAATCGATGAGGTATGAACAAGCTAATGTTATAGTCAATACTCGAACTCGTTTATTACAATCCAGTGCGAAGATATCTTCTCGGTGATTTTTTAAACTGTACGTTTTTAGACGATACACAATAGAATTTACATCATTTAAATCTTTCCATCCATCATTTTGAATGATACTATTACATATATCGTTGTCTCTTTTTAAGTCATTTCTTGATTCAGTGAACATTATAAGCATGGAGATTAAAGTAAAAATATAATTTTTTTTCATTATCCGTATTATTTTGTTAGTAATGGAGTAAGAATAATTTTAAAATTGTTTTTACTTATTGAAATATTGAAAAATTCATTCAATGTTCGTATACATATTTTTAAATAATATTTTATAGGATTTACATTACTGTATATTTATAAATAACTTGAATATTTACCAAATAAAAATAATTTTTATTAGAATCGAAATACATTTTGATGTGGAACGTGGTGCAAGTTTACGTTATAAGAATCAAATATTCTTAAATTAAAATATATGGTATTGTTAAAATTGCATTAAAATATTTTTAAATATATTAACAAAATGAAAAATAATTCAAAAATAGTTAAATGGATTACTTATGTTTGTGTTATTCAACGTATGGTGTCTGAGTACGAATTTATTAATTTTTTTCGAATTAAATAATAAAATAATTGCTTTAAATTGAATCGAAATTTAAATTATGTAAAGTAGGTTTTGATAGGGAAAATTTTATTATAAAATTAATTTAAAAATGATACACTAAGATTAGATCGAAAAAGATTATATTTTTCTATAAAAGAGATATCTACAAAAATTATCGATAAGTTATTATTTAGCCTAAATATAAATTACTCTATAAATTATCTATTTTAGGTTTTTTTACATTACTTTAGAAATACCTGTATCTATTGTTTCATATACTATCATATTTTTTATAAATTTTAAATGTAAATTTTACACTAATACAGCATTAGTTGAACTAAACCATTGTTCAATATATGCATTTATAATAAAAATACACAACTAACGAATACCGCTAAATTATTTGATTGATAATACAAATTTGTCTTCAAACAAAAACGTTTAAAAAATATAAATTTCCTTAGTAATTCAACGAGCATGATTAATAGACCAGTAGTAATTTTAATAACTCTATATTTTTAAGTATTAGTCCTATTGATTACAAGTCTCTTAATCGTGTTTGCAAACCATCACTTAAAGTAAAAGTCTCCTCTTCTAAATATCATCCACGCAGTTATACTCAAAGTTTTCTTCCAAATCTTCTATAATAAAATTATTAAATAAAGGCTATAATTTTCTGCAAACTTCCTCTGAATTTTTAAATACAATCTTTTAGTAAACTAGGTGAAACTGATATTTTCCTAGGTCATTATAGTCATACATTATTTGAATTAAAGCAAATTCAAAATCCAATGTCTGAATTTAATCAAGTTGATCCTATAGAACAAAAATCTAGCGCATGATCTCCAGAACCTTCTAAGACACCATTCCCTCGTAAAATCTCTAAAGATTTATTTTACGTGTAATTTTATAAAGTTATATATAACGTATTAAGAATGTCATATTAGTCAGTGTTGGATACACATCGTTCGAATATGCTGTCAAAAATTGTGTTGTGATTATTCATGTTATCGTTGTGTTATTTTGAGTTGTTGTCGTCAGTCTTCTCTCTATGTCTGCATTGTCGCCGCTATTTTAACGCTTCTTCTTCTATAAGCTCTATGGCATTTGTGAGCCAGTAGTTTTGTATTCCTTTTTATGTAAAAGTAAAATATCACCTTTGCGATTGTCACACCCTGTGCGTTCAGTTTATCGCCATTGCGTCTTTCCCAACGTTTGATCCTTTCAATATTCAACATTAGCTGTTTCATTTAGCCGATCAGTATAATTCTTGTTCATCTATCTTTCTAAGACTTACTAACTTGTATAATTTATTATTTGTTTATATCAGCTCCTTTGTGGCCTTAGTAATAAGTGTCCCCCTATCCACATCGATGTATATAAGATTTAATATCTCTTGTATAATACATTTAATTGTTATAATTATATATTGTAAAATCCATTCTACATTTAAACATACAGTCCAATCACCTCATTCCATATCCTCGATTTAGATACAGACTCAAGACTAAATAAAACCACGAACGTTAACGAACCCGCGTGAATACCATCGGGCACTGAGTTCAAACAGTCAGTGTTTAAGTTAAAACATTTTTTAATTAATTGAAACCTCTTGCAGACAGTATGTGTATAATAGTAGAGTGTCAAATGAATTTAACACAGTGCGAAAGGTCTTTAGCACTAATTTGCTCTTAAAATGAATATCATTTTTAACGTGACAAAACTACCTGTTAATTTTTTTGTCTATTTTATATATTTATGTTTATGTTCTAAATTAACTAAGTTGAGTCAAATGCGTGCTGTGACGGGGTTTATCACTTAAATAATCACCTTATGTGTTGTGATTTGTTAGTGCGCGTGCGAGATAGTCAATTGTGTACTACTTCGGAAATGTTGGCGACAAATATAAAAATAAGCTATTGAGCTTGCATACGTAAAACACGATACCGAATATTGACGAGAAATGTAACTAATTCATTTTCGGCACTGTTGACAAATCAATTATGGTGATACCCTACCGAAGTAATCGTACGAATGTAACGATTTACACAAACGAATCATCGACAAGTACAACGGAGAAGAGTATAAGTAAATTGTGCAAAGAAAAAATAGATTTTGATAATCCATTCTTGCCAAAAGTTGGTTTGCTCAAGAAAAACAGTAGTGAAATCGGTGATAAAAAGTTTGTTGATCGAAACGTTATTTTTTTTACAACCGATCGCAACACTATGCGAAGCATAATCAAATGCGATCTTCCTATAGATTTTACACACCCGCGATCAATTGGTCGAATACTAGGGTTTCGACTTCGTGTTTTTTCATGTCATCGAAAATGGAACACAGGTCGAGTCTCCCGTTATCTATAACAAAGGTGACATGCATACGAATTGCCTGTAATATAAATGTTGGTTCGTACCACGGAGGACGTCAATCGCATATTTTGCACAAATACTTTCCAAATGTACCACCGGGCTACCGAATTATCGAGTGTCCTTGACAAGTCGTTTACTATCCGTAAACATATTGAACATGACACGAATCACATTGCTCGATCAGGACAGACAACGTGTCAACCTAAGAGGTGAACAATTAACAGTGCGTCTACACATCAAACAGGAACGATGAAAGTACAATGACGATACGGGACCGTATAAAACAGTTTGATTTCTCACAAATTGGATTATTTTTGTGTATACTAGTCACAGTCGTGCAACTATTACTGCTCCTTCAAACATTCATCAACAGCTCTCAGCTGAC